ACCGACCAAAGACTCGCCGAAGTGAGCCAACATTCTTCATAGCAGCAGACAAAGCTTTAGTACAGTTGTTGGAGCAGCTTAAATCCTCTTGGATAACAATATCCAAGTCCTTTTCGCTAGAAGTATGTGGTAGCTGCTGGTCCCCGAGGAAATACGAGAATTTTTGCTTGTGGCGTGGGGATAGGACTTTGCATTTAGAAACATTAAATTCAATTCTCCTTAGACCATTGATAAGCTGCGTTGAGTGATTTCTGAAGTGTTTGAGAGCCCTCTGGTTCTGTTACCGTGTTCCAGATTCTGGCGCCATCTGCGAACAGTATTGTTTTTGAGTCTAACACTTTCGATAGATCATTTACGAAGGCGAGGACGGACCCTTGCGGAGTTGGTTGAGGTTAAACAAATCCAAATAACAACACCTAACGAAGATTCATTGTGCGCTGTTTGTACACACTGGTCCGGGTAGGCAGAAACAGGGAGATGAGTTAGCTGTGACGTGGTGTAGAGGGTTGTAGAGGTCGATCTCGGATTAGACTTGAACCGGGCTTCCGGGCTTCATAAGGGATTTATAAATAAGGAAAAGATCATTACACATTATATACTTTTTGGAATGTAATTTGATGAATACTACTCCACGTTTATAAGGCGTCTAATCAGAAATTACATAACATGGTCAATACAAAGCACAATTCACTGGCCTTCAGTGGTTCATTCAATTTTAGTATAACCCTTTTATAGATGTGAGTGACATACAATAACCCCATCTTCCTGAAGTAAACATTTGCACAATTTAACTAAAAGTGCTTTTTAGGTTCATATTCTCAAAATGGTATTGCAGAGAACTTCGATACATGTATCCAGCTAGCTTATAAGAAGTTCGTCATCCTTACTTTGCAAATTTGGTTATAAAAATGTTCATCATTGTTTCGTAATTTTTCGACATTATCGATTGCTTTGAATGATTTGTTCTGCGGAAAGATTGAGGCACAAACCCTTAAATCGATTCACTACCTTCTCCATCAGTTCACGTTAAATACTTCACTGAATTGGAAGTTAGAAATTTGGAATTAGTAACATAGGACATCAGTCAGTAGTCGTTTTATAAATTCACTCAATGTAACCTCCCTCCATTGACAGCTATATTTCGAAGTGGCCCTCGGAAGCAGTCTTTTTTTGCGGGACTAGCTTGCCTATATCATTCCGTCAACTCGCCGTTTGTGTGAAAATCCTCATCCGTTATCAGTGGCATGTATTTAAAAAAAATACACCACTTATTGACAGACTTGCAACAATTTGCTATATCGTCCGTATTGATGGACAGGTGTTGATCACACTCGTGCGATATCAGTTCTACTTTGGAAGTGCACTTTAGTTCCCAATATCACACTTGTCTATTGGTGGCCATGGATAAAGTATACTTATTCCTGACTTTATCTCCTACTTCTATGTTCTTAGTTGTCCTCTATTGCAGTTAAATTTGTGCGACCTTGAAAGTCGTGATAAAATTTCTAATAGTTCGGAAGTTAAAGCTCCGATTTGGAAAATATTTTATACAACCCAGAATGGAAATTCATACTCCTTTACATGAGAGTTTTCATTAAGTGTAACGCAATTATTCTAAATAGCTCATTTCTTTTCATCCAGAGCATAGTACACAAGCCACTTTTTGAAAGCGTTTTAGCATGAGTAAATTGATAAATCATCTGCCCACAAATTACTCACTTATTGTCTACAATACTGAAAGAAATAAAATATATATTCCAAGAAACATACAAGGTGACCTTCGAAAGTTGACCTTGATGTTCGCCGCTCGTTGAGGAAGCGTTTTGATATGTTACCATACCCCAGTCGGGATAAACATTCAAACGTTTGGGCATATAATCGACGACAAAGTGCAACTTAATCGAGATTCACATAAATCCGAGGACACCGTTCCTGATTTGCCCATTTCACTGTAAAACTGACGGAATTCCTCATTCAAAGCATAAACCAAGATGAAGAAAACCGATCACATCGGAGCAAGACGACGGTTGTATTTGATCGCAGCTGAGAACAATTGCACACAACAAATATGGAGAGTGGATTAGCTGCTTCTTCACCAAGCTAATGTTTGGTAAACGATGGCTCAATTCGAAAGACAGTTGAGGTCAGTTGATAGGAAGCCGCTGTTAAAGGACCAAAAAAGCAGAGCATGTATTGCCTTTTACAACAAATTCAAATCGCTTCTCCTGTCCATTTGCCAATGGGTTTATCTCACTGTTTTCCTACGAGTATTCATTAGGCAGAGGCTAAGCTGCTGAACTTATTTTCCGAAGAATTTTATTTTACCTCTTCAAAGATGCAAATATCCATCTCCTCTAAAGAATTGGGATGGAAGTAAATACTGAGTGCCTTGTTGTTGATCTCCTGCACACCAGCCTGGATATTACAAAATGCCTTGCACCGATAATGGAGGTTTTCGATAATTTTCACTCTGAAAATGCATTAGCGGAAGTCATGAATTTCATTCGCTCGACGTTGGTACTATGAAACGGTTAGATCTCATCAAGTGTTATTTTTTTTATCTATGCCTTTGATGGAAGGGTTAAGGTCTATGTCAAGTTCATTCAATTACCGCCCAATAGTTGGGATTTGAATCCATTCCAAACCTTTTCCCTGTGTTAGAAACATGGATGAGTTAGCTGCCTCAACAATGGTCGTCAGTGGGTAGGATGCGGCATGTATTAGAGGAAACTGGTAAAGTGTGTCGCTTAACTGAGGTAGACATTGTGTGATTGACCACTCCAAAACCCAAGGCTCAGGTTGCCGATTTCCAAGAATCATTGGTAGCAATCCTTGTGACTATCAGGTTTGACCAGTCTGATATGTAATGATTGCAAGATTTATTTACGGTTTTATGTCCTGGAAGTAGAAATTGTAAAATTCCCTGAATGCAGATCACTCACCTAAAAGTGCATAGTTTCGATGTTTGTTCTAAAGGATAGAAAAAATATTCATATAAATTTTATTAAAAACATGATTATTAGGTGTTGATACCAACAAAGCCGCTGAGTATGAATACACGAACAAATCCATTATGCAAGCGCAGTAAATGGCGTCACTGACGCACTATCACGAAATTACGGAGATAAGGTGTGTAAAGACAGTACGTATTTTGTAATGTTGCTTCACGTATGATTTCAATCCTTGATTTATGATATAGGAAATTGTGAGTAGGTGATACTGCATCAGAGAGATATTAGGTGATTGCAGATCATAATGCCTGAATCCAGTGTTCACATTGGTGTCCTTGTGATTATCAAATGTATTAATCTGCTGTGATGTGTTGAATGACAATTACAGCGATCAGATTGACTAAATAATGTGGAGAACGCAGCATAGTGCCAACAGGAAAAATGACATCTCGAGAATTCGAGAACCAACTGCAACGCTTTTCCCTTTATCGGCCTGAATATAACAAACATTATCGTGAATCTGTGTTCCCACTTTTCTCGGTTCGTTGCACAGCATCAGTTTAATAGTAGTATTACTTTTCTAAGCCTGGATTACACCTTACGTGAACTAAGATGACAG